AATAAGCCCAAAGAGCTAGACTTTGTAACAAGAAAACTTTTTACCTTACTTTTCCACACTTATGAAGGACTTTCTCTGAACATCGTCATAAATATTCTCGAAATAATCGACTTCTCCGATATCGGTTACTTGTGAAGCGTTGAGGTAAATTTTAGCGATATTGATTTATTTGCACTTTATAAAACGTTAACCCTTTAAATAGCCCTACATTAATTCTGTTTTTATTTTCAATCAAAAATATTAATTATTTTAAATACACCTTACATTCAAAACGATTCCATATTCACCAAGTTATCCGTCTCTTTTTGTACTGATATATGGTAAATAATTTTGACTTCTTAGTTCTACAGACCAATACCCGCTCACTGCTTACTATACTCTTGGTATTTACGTAACTCACTCACTGCATATCGAATTTTTAATAGCACTTCATTTAGGACGGATATCCTAACATTTTTCGACGAGTCTGCTATAATAGGCAACCATAAAAACATAGTAGAAGATTTTTAAAAATAAAAATTAACATATGTATGAATAAATCTATTTGAATATTTTTTTACATTCGACATATTTACATTTGTATGTATGTATGGCCTACATTGTATCTCTATATATAAGTAACAGGACGTTTTCATATGCCAGATGCATTTTATGAATTCTCTTTTTATGCTGACAATGCCGTCAGAAATTTGCCATTGCACACCCAAGGGCGCTTGCCATTACAATTATTTTGCTTAATATTTTTTTTTCAATTTACGTGCACGCGTGTCTGCAACGACGTTGACTTTACTAACTACTATCGGATAAAAAGAGAGTGCAATTTGAAAAAATACGACTGTTATATTTAATACTATGAATACTAGGAATAATATGGATACTGGGTAAGTCGGTGACTTTTTGCGGAGTATGATTTAAAGATTTTGAAATCGTTTTTCCACGATCCCCTTTTTGAAATTGAAAATTTGAACAACAGCTTTGAATAAAGGTCTATCAACAAGAACGATGTGATGTTAAAAAGAAATTAAACACTCCAATTCTCGAAATTTATGAGTCACCAAGTTTGTACGCAATATAGATCGTCTACGTCGATTTCATCAAATTCCGGGAAAAAATTGTCGGTCAACATCGTGTTATAACGCTAGCTATTGATAGGTTCGGCATTACCTGCCACATTTCGATGCGTATGCGAAAATTTTGTTTGTTGACGGCACTATTAAGCCAGAAATGGGCCTCATCTGAGAAGATGATTTTTAGATGAAAAGCGTCGTGGCTTTCATCATTTTCAACGACCAATCGGCCAAGCTAGGGCGCTTCACATTGTCGGTCGGCTTCAGTTCTTATGCCTCCTGCGTAAGCCTCATGGTCAGATTTTCCATCTGCGAATCGCTGCTGATTTGCAAACAAATCTATTCTGAGGGTTTATTTAGTTTGCCACGACGTTTTTAACACCCAGAAGGAAACGTTGGCGGCCATATAGAGTATATACATAAGTGACCAGCGTGATGCGCTAAGTCGATTTAGTCATGCGCATACGTATGTCTGTATATGCACGAATTAATCTCTCAGTTTTTGAGATTTCGATATGAAATTTTGGACATATCCTATCCAAGCACTGAATGTTTAAAGCCATAATATTAAGCATCTGGTTCTAACTTTCCTTACCCGCTGGTCTGATAAGTAAATATAAGCTTTCAGCGACATCATTAACAACTTACTTTTTCATTGACTTTACTTTATACGTAACAAAAAAAAATGCATCGTCCCAATTTCCATTTACAAGTTAATGATGCTCCTTTAGTATAATTTTGCAACAATACCGAGTACATGAGATGAAAATATGTATAGCCTTTTGTGTTGCGTTATATTCTTTTCATATAAAAAACAAACATTTTCTACTCTCATTGAACAAAAACATTACACTTACTTGTATAATAAAAATATCCCAATCAATGAGAGCGTTTGTGTGATTGAAAATATAATGAATAGATCATAAAATAACTCAAACACATGTTCACTTTTGGATCAATGAATTAGCTTTTGTCCCTTTGATTTCATATCAAATATATTTTAGTAATCTTAGCAAACTGTATACACGTTAAAATAATTTTTGCAATTAAATCCCAAGATAATTCCTTATCCATTTCGATAATAAAAACCTCATAGAAATAAGTTGAATATAACTTTACAGTGTGGGACATGCTCATAATAAATATGGTATAACATTTGAACAAGACCAAGAATATAGTTTTGTTCACCTAACAGTTATTTGTATCACCTAAAACTAAGACGAGTTGAAATCCGATTGACTGTCCGTCTGTTCGTTACTTGTTAATAAAGCGTCTCGGGTTTATCTGCGTAGACAAGCGACTTCAGATAACCCCAGACAAAACAGTCTAGCACTATGTATGGCATGTAGTGCCGACTCGTTGCAACTAAAGTTCGTTCACATCAACTTCCTCCAATTCAGGCACGATAAAGTCATTAATAATGGCTCTATAGCATTCCCTATTGGCTGTAACATCATTGCCGACTTAATTTTTGAAGAAATATATATATATATCCCTCTGTTCATAGAGCAGTAGCGTTTTGTTGTAATGAGTTAGTCAATGATTGAAGTTTCATGGATCTCACATCACATATTTCAATAGTTGAAGTGGATCGAAAAACGTACTTTGCGATTGTTTCATAATCTTCTTCGGCACTGTTTTCACTTTCAGATGAAATCCTATATTTCAACAAGTAAGAAATGACTAAGTTCGGGTGTAACAGAACTTTTCATACTCTTGCCACTTACCAGGATAAAATCCGGGGAAATACCTTCAGGTATTGGCAAAATTTTATTATTTCAAAAAATTTTGCGAAAGAATTCATCATTCATTGTTTGATGAAATCGTGAATGGATAACAATCAAATTTGAGTCTTATTAACTTATGTATATTAGCCTAAATTAGTTTTATAACTATTGCATTGTATATAGAACTTTTGACATTACTCAAGTATACTCGGGAACAAGTTTTCAAGCAAATTTATAAATAAATACACATGTACCTCATACACTGACCGACATATTCGGCATAACGTTTGTTAAAATAACGATTACTTGTAGTATATATGAGTTTGGGTAATTCGTGGACCAATTCCACATATTGTCGGCATTACGCTATAGTATATCCAACATTATACAGATCAGTTGATTTAAAATATTTTACATATTTACCAATATACCGCATAAAGTCATCCGGGAGTTTGAAAATCTTAATTAGGTATGGGATTAGGTGTATGATAGTAGAAATCGCGATCTCTCGATTAAGATCACTTATTTGACGATATATGCGATATAAAGTCAGCCGGAAGTTCGAAAATCTTTCTATTAGGGATATAGGGGCTAAGGAAATAATTGATTCAATTAAATTTCTCTCCAAATTTCTATAATATTTCTCGCATATTGATCAATATTTTCGATAAAACCTTAACAGTATGCACTGGGGTCACATATTTTGGATCTGTTGGCATGAATAGTTATGACTGAATTTTGGCAATTTTTAAATCTAATATGGCATACCTTAAAGACACTATTCGTGCAAAGTTTCAACCCGATATATAATTTGGTGGTTGAATTGTATACCATACTGGAAAGTGAAAAAATCAGGAGGAATTTAAAGTTCTAATATATTCGAAGTAGGTGTGGTAGCAGTTCGATTTCCCCCTTTTGCGTATGTACCCAATTTTTTCCAGAAGGTTCGGAGATATGTGATTTCACTTAAATATGGGCGATGTCACTTCCATCATCCAAATTTGACACTGACTCCTACAAAGTTCTCTTGTGCAATTATGGATGTAAAATGTTATGTCTCGATGTGTAGTTATTGATGTATCGCACTTTTTAAAAAAAAACCGTTATATGGGGAATGAGCGTAGTTTTCATGCAACTTCATCCCATTTCACGCTGTCGCAAGAGCTTAGTTGTGGCAATTTGTAAGTTTACGATTAATGGTGTTTTGTGGCTGTGGCATTTGTCTGATTACGCCCATCTACGAACTCGTCTTCCCAATTCGACCAACGAACAAGTGTACAAAGTTTCATGACGATATCGCAATTCTTACTCAAGTTACACCTTACATGGACAGACGTACGGACGGACAGACAGACATCCGGTTTTAGTTCGCCTTGTCATCCTGATCATTTATATATAAATAAGCCTATATCTATATGGATTAATTTTAGATGATACAAACACAAAACTATTATATTCTGTATCAACATATTGCAAGAGTAAAAAAATGTTGCGAAACATTTCAACATTCATTCTTCGACGAAATTTTTAATGGACTACAATCAAATTTTGTATTTTAATAAGTTATATTGTAGGTCACAGACTCAGTGTAAAATTGGGCAAAATCTGAATACCACCACGTCTACTTCCCTACGGTGAAGAATTTTTTACATCCGTCAAATAGGTTCGGAGCCTATTCAATTCAAACAAACAAACCAACAGATTTTACTCTTTATAATAATAGTGCTTCCGGTTGGCAAAATTAAGTGTACGTATAATATTGTAGCTACGTAAATTAATTGTAGCTACTTTGAGTTGAGTTTATACCACATACTCGTATATGTATCTGATTTTCGTAAAGTTGCTTGCCTATTAATAGCTTGGAAATGTCTTCAAAAATAGTAGTATTGTACTAAAAGGAGGAACCAAGAAAATTTTAGCGCAAAGGGTCAAATGTATGCAACAACTAATGAACTTTTTGTGGAAACTTTTTTTTGGATATTTTCTATATTTTCTCAGATATTTAATTTCCTTATACATTAGTATTATTTATGTTTGTACATTCATTTCTGTCAATATAACTGCAACAATATTATGCCAATTAAACTAATTGAGACTTTTGTAAAATTACCAACGGCAATGCTAAGTGATACCGTTACATAATTAGATCGAAATTCGGTAGAAATTCGTATTTAATTTTTTTGTTTTTGCTTTTGTCAATTCGCAGGTGCCAAAGAATCGCAATTGACGCGAACTAAATAAACAAAAAATATTAAAGAAAGTTAAGAGTTTGACAAATAGCGAAGGCAATATTTCAGCCGACCACTAGAGAAATTTTAATGTGTGCAGTGAAACGTACGTATATGAAAAGGGACATGTTGTTACCGTTCGTCAGTTCTCGGTCGGAAAAAACTTCAAGGACAGCTGGCAACAGTCGGCGTAGACAGCCACAGTGAGGCAGCCGAAATTTCACAAATAAAAATGAAAACCTCAAAAAGTTGAACAATAACGAAGCTGCACTTGGTAGAAAAAATAACAACAACAACTATAACGTTTAACGACAAGTGATTAAAGCAACAAATTTGAAAGTGGTGTTGAAATGGGCAGCAGCAGCAGCAACAACAACAGCAGAATAGCAGAAGCAGAAGCAGTTGGTGATTGCATTTTTAGCAGCGGCGAAGGCAGCAGCCAAACCAACAGAAAAAACAAAGACTACAACAACAATAATAACAACAACGCCTGCAGCAATTGCTTGCCAGCGCAAGGAGCTAAATTTATACAAACAAATTCCGTAGATAAAGCAACAATTGTTGTTGTTGCTCATAATTCGGAACATAAACAGCCAAGAGAGCGCGACCGTCAAAGACGGAACAAGCTGGAAAGGAAAATCAACGAAAACAAAGCGACTATAATTAATAGTGCACCGCAACAACAACAACAACAACAACCTAAACGAGAGCAACAGCATAGAACTGCTGCCGTCAACGCCAACAGCAGCTGCTGCCACATCAACTTTGACATTCTCATAAGCAAAATAAGCACCAACACAATTGCCTTGGACGTGTTGCTCCGGGCACATACTGCGAGTGTATGTAATATTGTTGAAATGGTAACCACGTGGCGTGTCAGGAATAGCAATCGTCGCCGGAGCGGCATCAGCAAGCGTGCAAGCAACAGTTTAAGCAACAACAACAGCAACAACTACGCTCCGAGCATTTCCAACACGTCGCCAATGATTGGGAGTAATAACAGCTACGACAACAACAACAACATCAGCACCACTAATAACAATAACAGTAACTTTGGTAGCCAAACTGGTCGTGCCATTATGTCCGTTGCAACAACAATTGCCTCAACCTCCGCAACGATGGCGATTGCGAATATACCCAGCAATCTGTTGCCACCCACCGGCAGTGTAGGTGGTTTTGACAACAACAACACAAACATTAACTGGTCAGTTGACGGCGTTAGTTGGCCGACTTTAAATCAATCAGCGACAGACAAAGTCGATTTAATTGAAATGGATTTGGCAAATGAAACGTTTAGGTAAGTGGAAACACGTTTACACATGTGCTTGTACATATATAATATGTACATATATATGTGTTTATATTGTACTTATGAGCAACTGTGCAAGCATGACAATAACTTAGGCAAATTGAAAGAAGCTCTCTTGAGTTTTTCACAGTTGAAGATTGATGACACACAGGAGAGGTTAGGGACGCACAAAGCCAACTTAGCTAATGTATTACAATCGGATGAAACAGGGTGTTTTAACAAGTTGGTTCAGATGAGATTATTACATCCTGAACAAGGTATATTAAGTTTGTTTCTAACGTTTCCTTCTGGGTGTTACAAACATCGTGGCAAACTTAGTATAAAACAAGAAAAAACGTTAACTTCGATTGCGCCGAAGCTATAATACCCTTCACAAATACAAAAGCCCCTTACAAGAACTTGATTCCAAACGTTCAATTTGTATGGCAGCTATATTATATAGTGATCTGATCTGACCAATTTCTGTGGAGAATAATTTGTTGCCTTAAGCAATAACTCGTGCCTAATTTCGTGAAGATACCTCGTCAAATAAAAAAATTTTCCATACAAGCACTTTACTCCGATCGTTCAGTTAATATGGCAGCTATATGCTATAGTCATCCGATCTATACAATTTCTTCGGAGATTAGATTAATGCTTTAAATAATAATACATGCCAAATTTCGTGAAGATTCCTCGTCAAATGAAAGAGTTTTCCATACAAGCACTTCATTCCGATTGTTCAGTTTGTATGGCAGCTATACGCTATAGTCATCCGATCTGAATAATTTCTTCGGAGATTACACTGTTATACAGACAGACGGACAAACGGGCAGACGGACAGACAGACAGACGGACATGGCTAAATCAACTCAGCTCATCACGGTGATCATTTATATATATACTTTATAGGGTCTCCGACGTTTCCTTCTGGGTATTACAAACTTCGTGGCAAACTTAATATACCCTGTTCAGGGTATAAAGACGCACACCTTCAAGTAATACAACGTTTTATATATGTATAACTGAGTCATGACACCAGTAAACTCGATAACCTTCAATCTCTCTTTTTCATTATTTCTATTTTATTTCTAATTTAATGCAATAGAACACTACGAACATTCAGCCTCACTGTCATCAATGCTACCACCTAAGCATCATAATTCGTTTATTGTAAGCATTTCGTGGACCTTAATATTTCGACATGTTCGCACCCTTACTATTCTTTATAAGCATTTTATATTCTTTACATGCCTAGTAGAAGTTGTGACAGTCGAATATTTCACCATCAAAACAGGTTGTCGATCCAAGTTAATCCGTTATAAATACACATGTATATAAAATATTCGTAAGCTGCTGTGCGATGCCATAGGTTGGCGACTTCTGAGTGACACAATTGAGTACACAAGTTATTTGTATCGCAGTAGTAGGACTCATATGGTACTCTATGTGGGTTACCATAAAACTTTAAGAGAATATGCATAGGCTTCCAAAGAAAAATGTAAATGGACGTTTTTGCAGATTTACGTGAGGAAAATTTGGTACGAAATACAGCGTGTACCAACTCTTACATATGACGGCCTAAGAACTTTGAGCTCCTTTTCTATTTGAATAATTTTTATTTTTCTTAACCCTTTAAAATATCATATGGGAATCAATCAAGTATTTGCGTTAAAATAAATTCTTTTTAAGGAGCTTTTTCGAGAATATCGAGCGCTATAGCGAAGATTTCGGCGGAAACGTTTGAATTTCCTTCGTCAATAGGTCTAGGATGAATGGCGTATAATATTTTTTGTTTTTTTCAAATAATCCACTGATATACATCAGTAAGAGTGGAACTCCCCAAATTGGGTGATCTAAATGACCAATCAGTTCAATGTTAATAAATGTTTGCATAAACGATGACGCACTCTGTACATATTATTTCACATTTAAACACAAGCCATTCGTCGAAGTGTGTATAAAATAAACGTGATATTGTTCAATACAACATGTCGTAAGATACGTGATACCAATTTGTTTTGCTAGAATTGTGAGTTCTCTGATAGCATTTTCAAATTTTCTGTAGAAATTCAACTAAGTGAAGGAAGTGTAAAGGACATCATTTAATATAAATAAAACATAAAAATTTCATTACACAGAACTGACTAAAATTTGTCTATTTCTTCCCCTACAAGATAGAGATATCTTGATGAAACTTGGTACCCATATTTCTTGGCCCCATAAGTAGGTTGGGATTGAAAATGGGCGGAACGTTACCATTACTCACATACACAATTTTTTATCCCCTCTGACAGTGTGAAAATGGATGAAATCGGCCACTCCCCATATAAAGATTTTGTTAAAAAGCACTTAAAATGCAATAAATCAATAACTAAATGCATCAGAAACATTGTACTTTACATTCAATATGAGACAAGAGGGCTTTTTAGGAGCCAATGTCAAAACTCGAAGATGGACGTGGCACCGGCCATACTTAGTTGAAATCATATATCTCCGAACCTTCTCAACCAAATTGGGTACATAGGATAATTTTGACATTCCCATGATACAGTGCGCCAATGGGCGAAATCGCATTGGAACCACACCTACTTCCCTTATATTATAACTTTAAATTCCTTTTGATTTTTTCACTTTCCAGTATGGTACACAAATCAACCACCAATTAATATATATCAGGTTAAAACTTTGCACAACTAGTGCACTTAAGAAACGCCTTCTCAAGCTTAAAACTTGTCAAAATCGGACCATAACTATTCAAACCCCCAGATACCGGAAATGTGGACCGCAGAGCCCTCGGCTGAATTTTTACTGAAAATATCGGTCAATAAGTGACATATATAATTGAAATTGAAGAGAATTATTTCCTGACAACAGCATGTCTGTAAGTCAAAAATGTTGAATCGGGTCAATATTTCTCTTAGCCCACATATACCTAATACTTCAAACTTCTGGGTGACTTTATACCGCTTATATCGGCCAATATGTGAGTTATCTTAATAAAACTGAGAGAGCGTGTTTTCCTAATAACAGTGTTTTTTGTGCCTAAAATGAATAAAATTGGGTGAAAACTTGAGCTAGTTTCCCGATAACTAATGTTCGGTTGACTTTACTTATTGGTGATGGTATGTGAGGTACCATTAATTTTCTCTTAATGGCTTGTAGTAATGCCAAAACTAGATAGAATCGAGTCAATACTATTCCTATCTCCCATTGATACATATATATTATTCATGGTAACACAGTACTTGAAACAACTGCTTTTATTTGATTTCTTTCTTTGCAATTGCAGCTCCGCTTATCCTGCGCTAAGACGTTATCATGGCGACTATGATGTGTCATACATAGCGAGAATAAACCCATTTTGGCTGCAATTCGAACCGCCAAGTACCCGCACCTACTATATTATGGCCATAATCTATATCATCATATCAAGCATCGGTTGTCTTGGCAATTCACTCGTCATATTTATGTTCGTACGGTAAGTGAAGGCGCAAAACATACCCAGCACTCCAATCTCTTGTTATAAACCTGTTTACAGCTAGTATGGGTAACAAGCCCAACTGCTCAGCCGACTGTTTTTTTAAGTATTTCACACAAACAATATCTTATCCTAAAAAAATAATTAATTAGAGAAAATAATTTTTAATAAAAATACAGTACTTACATATTTAAAATAAAAAATTTTCTGAGTCAAAACATACATATACATTTATAAGTACTTGTAGTTAGACTTAGGTGAACATATTTTTTCCGGCTAAATCCGGGACGGTTTTTAGGTAGCGGTTTTTTCCATATTATAATTAACTGAGAATCGCGATTATTCAAAAAGAATGGAAACGATAAAAGAGAAAGCAAAGTAATATTAAAAATGATTAAAAGATTTAATCACTGTCTGATTCGATCGTTTGTATATCAGTTGATGAAGTGGGCGGTGTTTCCGGAATTGTTGAAGACGTCTTCGGTCTGACGTATTTCTCTTGTTGACTGATTTTTCGAAGGAGCTCAGGGTGCGATTTTAAGTGAGTGAAAAATTTTAAACAGGAAATTATTCTTCACAAATAAAATCGATTTCACGGTGCTGACTTGTAGGCGAGTTTTTTTGATGTCCACATTCTGTTAATGGGGGAAAATAAGCGTTCAACTGGTGCCGATGTTCCTGGTAGTGTTAAAATATATTAAACGATCTCTGAAAGCTCAACGAATGGAATGTCTTGCTTCACCAGAAAAGTAAAACCTTGCACCCAACATTTGTCAACGGATGACTGCTCTTTACTCCATCCACCAATTCGTTTGTCACCTATATACTGAGATACACAAGTGAATTGTTCGAACAGCTTATGTGAAGTAGTGTTTGATGCTTTCAAAATATTATTTTCTGTGAATATATAAACATTTTCAATATACAAACTTTTTCCCAGCACCCAACCAAATAGTTTTACATGAGCGAACTGTTGAGTCCATGCCTCAAGATATTCGTAGCAATCACCTGATTGACATATTGAAGACAATTAAAAAAGAGAAAACGAAAAATGAGTTGTAAAATTAAATATTTACCTCGAAATTGTTTCGCCTTTACTTCAAATTGCTTCATGTCATAGTTTTCTTTCTTCAGGTTCTTCATTTCCAATTTAACTTGCAACAGAAAGTCATTGTGTTGGTTGGATGTTTGCAAATTGTTCATTAAATGTTACAAGTGTTTGTAAATTGCAACTGCTAGAATATCATCGCCTTCAATTTTCTTTATTTTTTCTTCGAAAATCATAGCCTAAAATTAATGAGATAGTAATTAAATAATTTCTCGATTTGAGAAAAATTTCAGTTAATAAAAAGCTTCGATATTCGATTACTGACAAAATGTCGGATACAGCTGGCAGCTTTTTTGAGAGGTGAAGAAAGGTCGTCGAAATACGTTTCCAAAGGTTGGAGCATTCGAATTATTTTCCCCAAAGCTTCTCTCAAGCCAATGAACCGAGTTTCGCAGTAACCAACCAGTTGATCGTATTCGTCTTCAGAAATCTCGCAGATTGACTTTAATGCTTCTGAGCGAATGGTGCGGATGTAAAAATATGTGTAGATCTGAGATATGCGCTGCACAACCTACATCAACTATATTTGATCGAAATCAGTTGGCGCATTGTCACCACAGTAAGCGTTCAATTTATCAGTCAACTAAAAATTTCCCAAGACTCTTTTAATCAATGAAAAATCATATCCGACGTTTAACCTTTTTCTTGTGAAAGTTCAATTATTGTAACATTCACTATAGATAATGGAAGAAAATAATGAATGGCAACAGGAAACATCTTGATTGCTTTGCAATTGGAAGCGTCGGTCGACAAACAAATGAATCGGGCTTTCTGTAAATCAGACTTAAGGCACGTTAACTGCTGTTTTTTAAATGATTCTTTGAATAATAAACCTGAAACTTGGATTCTTATCAATTGCGTGGAACACCCACACAGCATATATGTTATATACAAAAATTGCCCTCTAATAAAATTTGTTTACAAACTTTTCAGTTTGTGTGCCTGGTATGATCAAATCTAATTAATAAATTGTCTTAAATTAGTATAAAATGTAATATTTTCTGAACAGTCCGATTTCAGTCAGGAATCATATCATCCCAAATTGATAAATTTGTTTTGACGAAAACAACTTGGGGAAGAGGATCTCATATAGACGATTAGATGTGAACATCGAAGTTTCAATATTATTTATATTCAATTCCGCACACGACTGCTTCGTAGGAAGCTAACTGGACGAATGAGCCGCTCTGCACTTTATTTCATGACATTGACTCCCTTCTCGTAGTCCAATGATGAATACATCGCATATTACTTTGCAGCCCATTCATGACTCGATTTTTTTCTAATACTCTTCTAATTCAAAAAGTTGTATAAAGGTATCAAATTAGTCTAATTAGTTTTGATAAAGATTTAAAGGTAAAAAGAGATTTTACAGAGGCGGCATATTAATTTTTTTTTTAGGCGCATTTTTTGTGGAAAATTTTTTGAAAAGTCGTAGTACATTATTTTGTTCTATAATCTATGTAAGGAATTTTTTTAGTAATTTTTTACACCTTGGGTTACATTATTGGCGTTTTAGTAAAGACCCTTAACTTTTTTGAAAATATAATATATCCTGTGTTCACCGGAGAGAGTCTAGTTTCCGAACGATGAAAGTAGTCCGTCAAGTGGTTTCAGAGAATATTCAATTCAAACAAACAATAAAATCTTTCCTCTTTGTAATATTAGTATAGATAACAACCTATGTATAAAGGGGAATAACACACAACGGAACCGGAATTACAATATAATAAAATCTTAGACTATGAGGTACTCATTGGCAGACCGTAACATTTGAATATCTCCCACTGAAGCAATCAGGCAGCTAAATTTAAGTAGAAAAGTGTTTTCCTGGAACATTATGCGATTCGACCTGGCCAACACAGTTACGTTCGTCTCGAAAGCTTTCCACACATACTAGTCATATATTCATAGCAAGATAGAATAAATATCATCTCTATGTGTGTAACAGATTTAATACGGCATGGCTATGAGCCTGGCTGAATGCCTGCGGATGAGATTAGATAAAGTGCTGAATAAGCTACATACATACAATGTATATGTACTTATGTATGCTATGTTACGGTTGGCTTTGGCATATTTGCTGTGGTTTGCACAATATACAAATGTATGTATTAGCATGAAAAGGGATGCCAAATATGATCTGTCGGTATTTAATAATAATATATAATTTATATTAAGAATTAAGGAACAAAATATGTTTATACCAAGAACAAGATATATTATGTTTCCCATGAACATTATAATACCCCATAAAATATATACACACATATACAAGTATATAAATGATCAGCGGACTGACAAGCTAAAAATTTCACATATTTTCGTAAAAATGTTTATTATCGTTCTCAAAATATACGCCGGAGCCAATACAAGCATGCCAAGAGTTTTTTATACTCTCGCAACTTGTTGCTACAGAGTATAATAGTTTTGTTCACCTAACGGTTGTTTGTATCACCTAAAACTAATCGAGGTAGATATAGGGTTATATATATATAAATGATTAGGATGAAGAGACGGGTTGAAATCCGGGTGACTGTCTGTCCGTCCGTCCGTCTGTTCAAGCTCTAACTTGAGTTAAAATTGAGATATCTTTATGAAACTTGGTAGACATGTTTCTTGGTACCATAAGACGGTTGGTATTGTGGATAGGCGTAATCGGAACATTACCACGCCCACAAAACGCCATTAATCAAAAACAAATAAATTGATATAACTAAGCTCCACAACAAGATACAAGACTTTTATTTGGTATACAGGATCAAATTAGGGAGAGGCATATGCAGTTAAAATTTTTTAAATGGGCATGGTCCCGCCCCCTAATAAGTTTAATGTGCATATCTCCTAAACCATTTAAGCTATAATAACAAAATTCACTGGGAACAAATATTTTTAGCATATCTATCGACGGTGTAAAATCGGGTGACAACCCCGCCCACTCCCCATATAACGGTACTGTTAAAAACTACTAAAAGCACGATAAATCAAGCACTAAACAAGCCAGAGACATCAAATTTTATTTCTGGGATTTTTCTCATTTTTGGAGCGCCATTCGATAGATTGTTGGATGTGTTTGCTTAATGTAGTGTTCTCAGCTACGTAGTCAAGCATCTCTTGTGCGACCTCTACTATACACTGATTTTGCAAATGTTTTAGATCTTTTGATACTAGTAAATACTGAATGAGTTATCATTTAAATTCTTCATAAGAAATCCTTCCAAAGATTTGTAAGCGGATTTAATCACACTATTTTCGAGAAACAGAAACCTGTTGGTCCTTACGTCCCGCTACCGTAAAACCGCAAACACTCGCATATATATTTTGAGAAGTCTAAGCCTTTATTCCAACTAAACTGCTTCAAATACATGCTTGTATGTTATGTTAAGCCTTAACATTCCGTTTTGCAGTAGTTGACATTACCCACAAGATAGCCATGACTACAACTGCTGCCACCTAATTAGTTGCATATTTCCAGTAAGTGATCATTTCTCAGTAGGTAAATATCACATGTGGTTTTAGTTACTCACATTCATACTCTGTTTTGACTTGCAGAGATATGATTAAAAAACGAAGGTTAAATAAAATTGCAGTGTTTGGAGTTTCTTAAATTACCAAGTAGACCCCAAGTGGACGATGTGAGTTCGGATAAACACTATTTTTAAAAGAGTTATTTACCTCTGAATATATATTACTTATTTATCAACTAATATTTAGTATAGTTCATAAAATACTCAAAGCCTCTACATTGCGATTCGAGTACTTCACCTGGACTATTTAATATAGCGGACATTATATTTATCTTTATTTGAAAGAAAATGGAAAATTTCAACTCAATAAAATACGCAAAAATTTTACACATAAATAATTTATTAAAAGATACCGATCACTCATTTAGGATTCATTCTTATAATAAATATAAACTGTTTAACTTTTCCTGTCATGTTCCGAAGAAATTTCTCTTATTAATAAGAGTATAGTTCCCTATCATGTTTTTAGTATACCGGCCTTGGTAACGTTTCTTAAATTCCATTATATCTTGATGGAATAGTTTTTCTTGCTCTTCTCTCACATTATCTTTAAATTTATCTGAATGAGAATGTAACATGTGCATCGATGATGGGGAAACTCGTAATGATGTCAGTGCTCAGCTCGTCATAATTGTCAACCCTGAGATTTCCAAAGAAACTATGCACTACTTAAAACCAAATCTTCTTATTAGAGACATTCCTATAGAGATTCCAGCTTTTATGTTTGCCTCTGAAAGCTTTGGAAAAAACTCTTCAAATATTTGGAAAGCTTCGGCCTCACGATTAAGAGTCTTTAGAAATTGTTTAATATGATCCAATTTTATATGCAATGGCGGCATTAATATAGTTTTAGGATCGATAATTGTTTCCCATTCAATATTGCATTTTTCCATTTCGTAATCAGTACGTACCGGCCAATGTTTTTGGCGGTAATCAACAGCATTATTCTTACTCTCCCAAAAGCGAGAATAATAGAAGTATTTAGTATGCCTCAAGTCTGCAATAACTCCCCACTTGTAATACATATATTTAATTGCCGTTAATAGCATTTCAATACTGTCTTAATATTCTTTCAGATATACGAAATGTGCCAATGGAGTAGTTGGAAATTTGGTTCCATTATGAAGTAAAACAAATTTGAGACTTTCTGTTGGGCTATCAATAAAAAGGCGCCATTCAGTTGTATGGCAATTAATATCAATTTTTTCAAATCAACCTTTCGCGTCATGACAAAAACAGAGTCCATCTTTCTTACTGAAGATACAAAAAAGTTGTGTATGTCGTTTTGTTTGATAGGATATTCGAACATCAAAATTCAGTAAATTCCATCGCGATACCAATAACTCTGTTGTATATAGATTTAAGTCTCTTATTAAATCATTGAAGTCTTCAGAGTTGATGAGACGTGTTTGGTTTGGTTCAGATTCCAAAACGAATTCGGTATGTAATATCTGCGATCGCGATCCTTCCTATGCGCAAAAATTTTTTTTTGTTGACCTGTGTTATCGTGATAAAGGAAACAAGCTGTTCGCCCATAATTCTAGCCATTTCAGACAAATTGCTTGACGCAAACGATGCATAAGGCTAAACAAAATATTCTTTGTTTACAGTTTGGCCCGGCAGAAAGAATTTCTAGTACATCACGCTAATTAGTTTCTTTTTGATCACAGTAGTATGTAAGTTGACCCGACCTGTGTAACTTTAATGTACACATTACGTAAACCGTTCGAATAGTAACAATTAAGCTCGTTGAGAATATTGAATTTCATCATCGCACATGGAAATTGGCTAATAGTCATGCCCGCTTCCCATAAAATATTATTGTTCTACACTACTAAAATTATGACGTGATCAATGAAAATATGAAAATGTGAATGCATCCACAAAAGAGGTGTACAAATTTTTCAATCGATATCTTAACAACTGAGGAACTACAGAGTCTACCAATAGGGTAGGTATGGCAGGTCATTGAAAATCGGCGTAAACGGGTGGAGATATGCAACCGAAGCCATGGTGACCGTTTGGTCGATATTTTTTTCAAATCATAAATGGTATAAAATTATATGCATAACAAAAGAAAGCGAACCCATTTTGACCAAATTTAAATACATTTTAATGTTTCATATCATTTTAACATCACGTCATTCTTGTTTGTAGCCCCTTTAGTTCGCTTATATTCAGACAGACAGACGGACAAAGCTAAATCGACTTAGCTCGTCGCGCTGATCATTTAAATATATATTTAATAGGATCTCCGACGTCTCCTTCTGAGTGTTACAAACAATGTGGCAAACTTAATATACCCTTTTCAGGGTATAACAACTGTACTATAGGTACGACCACTGTGCCATTATATACTGTTGGATAAAATTGCATACATGTGCTGGGTTGGAAATGAGCCAAACTGACTAAAATGCTGCATAATTCCCATACACGCTATGAATAAAAAAAATATCAAAAACATATGAGCTAAATACCTAAAAATTTCTTTTAACTCTATCCGTACATACATACATATGTATGTTATGTGTTTGCTATGTATTCATAAGGTTAGGTGAGAATATTGCAAAATGCTCTTCGGTGAAAGGGCATCATGCTTAATATGAAAATCTTGGGTAATAGTTCGGCGGGTAATGGCGGTTTGGCAAGCGAAGACTACATGATCCCACTTTTAAATTGAGAAAGTAAGAAAGTTCAGAGTAAACATAGAAAGAGATGGAGGCCTTAGTTGGTGCGGGGATATACTGCCCAGAGAAATAAGACAGCCTACCACTAGGCTGCCGGACTACTGCAGTATATTTCGAGCAGAGGTCTTTGTATTGGGGAAACATCACCCGAAAACGTGATCGACAAGTTAACGAGGATCTGCACAAGAGCATGGCAAAGGAAAATCAAAACGCGATAGAACGATCTACCTGGGTGCAAAACTGCAAAAGACATGTTTAAAACGGTCGATCAAAAATATAGATAGGTCCTACTGGCACTCGATAGAAGTAGGAAAATTATTGGAATTTTCACTGGTCACAGTCTAGTGGCGCCACTTGAATGCAAAATGTGGCTGACAGATCGAGAAGACTGCAGCAACGCATCAAACATCTGGAGGCCCCACGGTATAAGACATTGGAAGAGGTAGGGCACAGATTCTGTTGATATTCACGTCAAGTACAGGCATCTTAAAGGGATGCCATTTATCGTTTTTTACGGTTGTACTTATTTGTTATGACCCTTATTGGCCTTCGTTGGTGTCCTACTTCTGGTATTGAATTATTTAATGAAAGTATCAATTTCTTCATTTAAAAACCATAAATGAAACCTATGTTTATGATATTCCTAAACCCTACCATACTAGTTTTTTTGTTTCAATTAATATCTTCCAAATAAATATTTTTTATTACCTTTCGCATTTTTTCAGCTGCAAATCCTTACGCACACCTGCGAACACATTGGTCATCAATTTGGCTGTGAGTGATCTTCTCATGTTAATGAAATGTCCGATTGCAATATTTAATAATTTCAAGCAGGGTCCTGCGCTTGGTGATGTTGGTAAGTATGAAGTATATAAAATAAATTTAATGGAAGTTTCGAAATATACTCAAGACATACTAAATAATTAGACAAAATCCAGATACGATCTATTAACTTAAGCAAAACTATAATGGTGATATTTATTCAAACTATCCTGTCACTCTCTCTCTTTCTCTTAACAGGTTGTCGCATTTACGGCTTCGTTGGCGGTCTTAGTGGCACCGCATCAATTGGGACTTTAACTGCCATAGCACTCGATCGGTACAATGTAGTCGTACATCCGCTCGACCCACTTCGCAAGACAGCCAAAGTGCGCTCCGCGTATATAATCACAATAATTTGGATTTACAGTTTTGCATTCTCCATTGTGCCAGCGCTAGATATTGGCCTCTCCGTATATGTGCCCGAAGGTTTCCTCACCACTTGTAGTTTCGATTATCTGGACAAAGGTTTGGGACCGCGCATATTTATGTTCTCTTTTTTTGTGGCCGCTTGGTGTGTGCCCTTCGGCATCATTTGTTTCTCATACTTCTACATACTGAAAGTGGTATTCGCCGCCAATCGTATACAATCCAGCAAAGACAAAAATAAGACTGAACAAAAATTGGCGCTTATAGTGGTGGGCATAATCGGTTTGTGGTTTCTAGCCTGGACACCGTACTCCATCGTCGCTATGATGGGTGTTTTTGGCAAGCAGAAATATCTAACCCCGCTGGGTTCCATGATACCGGCACTCTTCTGCAAGACTGCCGCCTGCATTGATCCTTACTTCTATGCGGCGACACATCCACGTTTTCGTATGGAATTCCGACGTCTGTGGCTGGGACGTGGTAACTTGCGGCGCACCTCAACGACGCGCTCCTCATATCTAACACGTTCGTCGACACGCCGTTTACGCGTTATCAGCGATGTGGACGTGCGAAATCGCTGCATTGAAAATGCGAAAAAGCAAAATAATTTGCAGGCTCTGCAGGAAGTGACAGAGGAGAATGATGAGGATTATGACTTTTCAATACCAGGAAATTTTAGTGACGGCATAGAGCAAAGTCGTTTTTAATAAAAGGAGGTTCGCGTTTTTAAATGTGAATAGGACAGTTGTTGTAGTTGCAGAAAAATACTGTTATAGTCATAAAAATACATACGTTAGCTTATTAAGTATATGCTTATGTATCTATGAATATGTGTAGATAATATGTGATTTATGAGCGTGTAGATGCTTTCTTAGCCCTTAATAATATAGAAGTATGAATATAAGTAAGGTATACTGATACGTCTGTAACCACAGTTTACATTAGGCTAAAAACCACCTGAGTAAATATATGTGTACATATGTATGTGGTGTAATGAATCTGTTGGTTAGTGTAGATAATACTAGAGATAAATTAGAAAATATGCCAATTAAATCATTCATGGAATTTATTTGATATAAGGAATGTATTTCTTATAGATTTTCAGGCTAAATTAGGGAAAACGTATCACTATTAAAGCTAATTCGTAGCTACCATGTTGAACAATAAAACTCTCAAAATTATTAAACAAAGTTGAGACAATTAGATTGATAGATTTCTCAAAAAGCCCTCATAAATGGTTTTGACTTCAGTCTGACATCAAGGTGGATATAGTTACCATTCTATGAATTAGAACATTTACTTTGCGAACATTTTGATATTTCTAGGCAAAAAATATTGACTTTCATGCATGGTAATTATGAAGCATTCAAAAAATATAAGTGCGTGATGTCTTTTCATAGTTTTCTCAATTGGCAGCGCCGCTTCCTAGTATGTCTGTGGTTTTAAAGACCAAAATGAGCTGACTGAACATTAGTTCAAAAACTTGGCTGTGCAGAGATCACGCCTTTGCTGTACTCCTTGGGCAAAATAATTCAAGTAATTGAACCACAAAATCCATTGTTTTCTAAGATGAAGAATATTCCTGAAAATGAATGTGTTTTTCTGTGCGAGAATACTTGACAATGCAAATTTCATAGCAGTTTTCATATTTAAAAGCTATTCTTTTTCTAAAATAATAACCAAGGAATATTTTGTACACCGTATATATTGATCTCCAGATTTGTAATCAATGTTTTGATCCTTCTGAGTTCACGTTGGGGTTGGTTGTGTAGTCTCAATTTTATTTACAACACGTATTTCTTATTAGTATGTTATAATTGACACTTACATCTTTGCTGGAGCTTCTTATCCTATAATAAGTACATATGTATGTAGTGTGCGCCTTAATGTCTAAAAAATTGTAATCAGCTTCCCATTAACTGTTGTTAGAAACATACTCGTAAATTTTCCATTGACATCCATAGAATGACCATAGTTAATAAAAAATAATGTCCAAGTCATTTTTTAAGATTTTCAATCCGCCATTAGGAAGTTAACGTTTATGCTATGTAAGTATCTTTTTGGTTCAACACTTCTGGGACCATGTAATGACATTATATTATATATATAATACATTATGAACTATTAATTTCATGTTAGGTATAGGTCAACGTAAGTTTGTAATGCTAAATTCGAATAGGAATACATGATTGTAATGTGCGAAATGAAGTACCTGCTATCGAAAATGAACGAATTTGTAGTATCTATTATTATTAATGTAATGTAACTGATTTACCATTAACGGCATATAATATACTGTTAAAAGTACTCACTCTAATTTGAAAATATGCAATGTTGAGGCGTTTTGTTTACTTATGTGTATGTATATACGCATAAATACTCACATGTACATACATACTGCTTAAATCATAACGAAAAGTCAACTTTTTTCAGACGCTTAGTAAAAAAAAGTTCATTGTGTGATCATTGTATGAAATCGTTTTGCATTTTAGGCAGTCGACGCATCCGCCAACTGAAAATGATAAAAGATAATTATTGCGAAAGGAAAATATTTACCTGTGTAACGATGTAACGGTGTACCGGCGTATCATTGTTAATGAGCGGCAATATGCTGACATAGAAATGAATACAGTGGTGGGCAAGGAAATGGGGTTGGGTAAAGAATATTTATGTTGTTGCTCTATAAACGACACCAAGTTGTTAATTTATAACTTAACTCACAGATAAAATCAAATTTCATAATTTCATATTAATGGAATTATGAATATAAGTAGCTAATTGCATATTCACTCAAAATAAATCAACAGATTATAATCGATATTTGCTAAAATTGTCGTCAAATATATAATAAATCTCAATTTACGAAATATATGTTAGATGTATTTTCGCTTACTGTTTTAGAACTACAAGCCTGGATATTCAGCCTATTATATTTTATTTAAGTCGTAGCAGGATTGCCTTTTATATTTCGGGATTAGAGAACAAAAACACAATTATTTTTCAAAATATTCTTCTTCAAGTTCTATGCACTTTTGCATGCGTTTAAACATATTGCTCAAGCACTTTTACCACTCTGATCTGAAAAAATGTACCGATTATATTAATTTTTACGTACGGGTATAGAAAGAAGTTATTCGGGGCCAAGTCAGACGCGTTTCGAAGTACCACTATCGAATTTTTGTAACATTTCTCTCGACCAATCGACACGAGCCTTCTTTTAAGCGATTGACAAATTGTGTTTTTTTGCAATTAAATATTCATGCAATATTTTATGTATTCTGGTCCCAGTAATGCCTGCAGTTGTCTCAATCTCACGATAGTTCACATGACGATCTTGCAATATCAATTTGCACACAGCATCAATAGTTTCCGGAACAACAACTGATTTTGGGCGACCACTGTTGCTGCGTTAATCCACGTCCAAAGTTTTAAAAAATAATCGCCTAAAAGGTTTGCGATTTAACTACATTTTTTTGTCGATATGTATATTTTAAGTTACTGTTAACAACACAAACAGCGCTCGTATTTCTAAGCGTTCTAAGTACGTATAACATCAAAAATGTCAAACTTTCCGATAAAGTTCTGAGTTGCCAGATTGCAACACTAGAGTTATCAAATCCCGAAAAGGCAAACTACGTAGAAATAAAAATTATTTTATCTGTCTACGGTTTTTAAGAGATATTTGCGTATCACATTAATATGCAATTTGTTTGCCCCAACAATTATTGCCGCTACTGTAGATGCGCCCATGTACTTAGGGTACGCAAAATCAAAGGATAATGTACGACCAAAAAATCTATTCATTACTTTACTTATATAACCATTATTCAACATAGCTGCATATATTTTTAAGAGTATTTGTGATGTTAAGTTAATCGTAATTAAGGACAACAGAAGGATGGAAATGGTGGCAAAGCAGAACAAAGGCAACGCAATAATTCTAAAACAAAAAAAAATTAAATAAAATAAAAAACGAAAATTACACTTCCACGAATACAAACAAACAAAGGTAAATGCTGGCTGAAGGGAAATGAAGAGGAAAACATCAGACTAATAGCTCTGAGCCACAACTTATACACGCCAGTACTATAACTAGAGTAAAATAAATGCAAGTATGTAAAAAGTGCCGTTCTAAGAGTATTTGCGTTATGCTTTGCTGTGCGCTTTGTTGTAATTGTTTTCTTATAATGCCATGAAAGAAGAAATTAACGAATGCAGAAAATCTGATGACAAATTAAATAAGATATTGGAAAATAAAAATGAAAATAAACTGCAATGATATCAATGAGAATTGTCGCATTGTTAGTCATTGTAATGTAATATTTGTACTGTCTATACAATAATTATGCGCTTATAGGGTCAGACGTCTGAAAGTATTGAGAAGGAATAAATATTAAATTTTTAAATATGCGACTATATGCATAGGTTTCCTTCATTGTGAAATTTTATTTGTATTTACTCATCAATTGTTAGATAATTTGAAATGTAAGTTAAAATGAACTTTAAATTGTTGAACAATTAGAAAAATGTCCATTTTCCGAAAAAAAAATATTAAATCGCTATTTGATGGTCAATTATAATTTTAATTTTTAATTAATAAAAACAGTTTTAGTTTAAAGATATGCCATGCAAAGTCGAAAGGTCGAAAGAAATCTGCTAGTATGTACATAAGTGGTAGTTAAGGGGTTACATGGGCTTCGTAGAGCAAAAAACGCCCTACTTTAAATAATTTTTTATATAAAATATAAAATATTTTATTCTTTTTCAAACTTTTTTTTTTAATTTCTTATTATTGCGAAGATACATATTTGATAAAGATTTTGTGAAATTTTCAAAGGTAAATATTCAAAACTCGGTCATTACGACGTCATTTCCGGCGGTCCCACGGAAAAAGGGTGCATGCGCGTTAATAGCAGAACTTCTGACATCAAAAGTAAAAAGAAAAAAATACGTGTTTGACCTGAGAGCATTAACTAGGTATTGGAAGGAAAAAAAAACAAATAAAGTGAAAATTGTATTTTTGTCAATCGTTTCAAAAAATATAAATTTTGGTGAAAATTTCTCGACGTTTTCTTGTTTTAAACAATTGTAATTGGGTTAAAGACCTTGTAAAGGATATCTTAAAAACCTGACCGAATTTCATTAATATCGGTTGAGTAGTTCGCGAGAAACCTTGATGACCGACTTTGAAAACACGGTTTCGAGAAAAACACGTTTAAAGTTTTAAGTTATATATAATATATATACAAATTTTTGAATTTAAAATGTTGAAAAAATAGAAAAAAATTATTTCGCCGAAATTCAAAAATGTATATCTTTGAAACGAAAAAGAACACACCTCTGAAAATTTCAGAATTTCTTTAGATATGTTAGAGGTATAATATAAAAATTGTTGAGACCAAACTTTTACCACGACGGGTACTTTTTACAATTTTGAAAAATTTAAAAATTTTTAATTTTGGTATTTTTTTTTCAAAAAATTTTTTTTCTTATACCTCTTAGTGTCCTCTATGAACGCAGCAGCGTTTATTTCATAATATACAATAGTTTCTGAAATATTGAATAAATAAACTCATAAAATCGGAAAAACAGTTAAAATTTAAATTTTGAATAACTCTTTTGCAGAACTTAGTCTTATGATGAGACAAAACTCTCTGCCAAAATTCATCTAAATTGGTGGTGGTCGCGTCCAACTATTTGTCGATTTGACATGGAATGACCCACAAAAAAATTTTTTGTTTGAAGCCGTGAAACCGATGTAACCTCTTTAGTCAAGATATTAATTTTTTTCTGGATTAAAATGCATTTAAGGGGTTATATTCACTTGCAAGTCAGAAAACACGAGTTTTTTCGTAAATTTTTTTTAAGAAGCATTTTTTTTTATATATTTAAATAAAATTCTGGATTCCCTCGATCCCATAGCCGATCCCCAGGTAGACCTCTGAAAAAGATGACGGCGGTGAGGAAGATTTTTACACCCTTAACAGGGTAAGTTAGTTAAGGTCGGGGGGGGTTCTCCCCAACAAGCTGGTTGTTTGACGGAAACTCCGATATCGGAACATTATAGCATATAGCTGCCGTACAAACTGAACTATCGGAATCAAGTGCCTTTATGGAAAACGTTTTCACTTGACGAAATTTGGCATGAGTTATTGACTCGGACAACGGTGCAATCACCAAATATAATGGCCAGATCGGATCACTATAGCATATAGCTGTCATACAAAGAATAATCTCCGGATCAATTTCAATCTCAAACTTAAATTTTTCGACATTCACAAGTGGATATAATTCCGACGATGGACTCTGTTGTTGTGCTTCTGGACAACACTCTCTCTTTAATTAGCTTATTAAACTGCTTGCTGACGATCCAGCAAATGTTAAACGACAAATAATGTTTTTTAAATGGCCTTGATATATGTAGATGATGGGTTAACACAACTGAACGATTTATGCTTAGAATTGTGCTGAATTGCGATTTTCGAAACATGCCCAACCAAAACTATTCAATAAATCATACACTGTCTGAGATCAGCCTACTAAAGTTAATCTTTTTGAATCGATTTATTTTATTTGAAATATTATTTTTATATTTTAGAGTGGTAAAATTTTAATTAATAATTTTTTTTTAACAAACGGTACTTTATGATGGTATTAGTCTTCTTTTTTCGAAAAAGCCTCAAGTATCAAGCAATCAGCATAGAAGTTTAAAAACTACCACGTGTGAAAGCTTTCAACAGTTCCACGATGAACTACTGAAAACAAGTAACGAATTAAAATTAAAAGCGAAACAAGTAAAGTGAGATAAAATGAAATGTAATTGACATCATCATACTAACATATCTGTGTTTTAACTTAAATATACGTAAAATCAAGTACCTTTTAAATGCAAACTTAACGCGTAAGTACAAAAGCATGTAAGTTTCTTTTAATTTAAGCATTCGTTAAATGGTTGAAATCAAATTTAATGGAAATGTCAATAAAGATGTAAGAGTAGTTGTAGCTAATGTAAAAGGAAAATGTTGCTGTGTATTTAATTAAAAGAAATATACTCGTAAATGAATAAATAAAATATTAAATGTTTTGATTTCGGTTTATACGTAAAATTTTTACCTAAACCTAACTTTTCATACGAAATTCACATGAAATGTTCTGAAATAGAAGACAAACATAAGGATAAGAAGTAAGTATGTTGGTACTTTCAAACAGATTGTATGTATGTGTACAGAAGTATGTTCGAGTGTGCCATCATTATATGTACCAGCACTCGTCAATAAAACTTAATTACCCTGCTATTACCGCAATTTACTTAAGTAAATGCTGTTGAGTGGAAAAGATCAAGCACAATCCTTTATTTATGTGTGGGCATGTAAAAAAATGTTCCACATTAGGGTAAGTACACTCCACTTCAAAAGATAGCGAAGTAGATATTGCCAAAATAAGGCAAGACAAGTACTAAGGACTTATAAAATAGGTATAAGAACAAAACATATAGACTTATATAGACTTACAGCTACCATAACAGGACATTGGCCATTTGGAGAACATACATTAAAAATTGGATTTCCCTATAACAATATTTGCCCCAGCTGCAAACTCGAAGGGAGTAAGGAAACGGTTCTACACTTCCCCTGTGATTGCCCAGTTCTATCGAAAATTCGACGTAGAACTCTTGGAATCCATCAGGCACCAAATCTTGAATATCTATCACACACGAGATAGCAATATTTAAAGGTCCCACGCATAGTGTATCAAAATGGCGTATCTAGCGCTAATTGGAACTAAACTCATACCTACCTACCACTCCAAAAAAGAAAAGCAATATTGAATATTTTTGTATATTTCATATCTTAATCCTTGTAGAACCTTAGCGTAGTATTGGGTGTATAACTCTATTCGAGCGATTTTTTTCTAAACATTTGAACGTTAAAACAGATTTTTCAAAGTATTCTCCATCTAATCTTCTAAATCAAATCTCTCTATTCCCATCAAATCTTTCTGACAATTTCTGGATTTCATTCCGAAATAAGGTAGATAAGGTAAGGTTGATAACCTGTTTTGATGTAAACCGTATTACAGTGAGGGCGTTTTCCATCAACCGGAATAAATGATAGTCAGACTTTGACTTGGTCTGGGCTATAAGGCAGCAGCCGCTGTTTTACAAATAGTTATTAACCGGTTTTGCAACCTGAGGCCGAGCATTATCTAGTCACAAATACCGGAAATTTTTCGGCAATCACTCGCTTGATGAGCTGTTGTCGATAAATAGCTTTCGGCTAACTATACTCTTATGAGCCTTTTATATTGGGTATTAAAAATATCATACATTATCTTCTAAATTTAAATGTCATGCCATTATTCAATGTCCAAGAACACAAAAGATTCATTTCTCACGTCAACGTAATTCTTGGACATTTTAAAACTTGATGTCAAGTAAAAATGTGTTACAAATTATACAAAGAAATAGTTTAGTTAAATACGAATTTCTATAAATAACTTACTTCTTATTTTATTTTGTTCCTTCCATTTAATCATAATGACCTCAAAGGATATTTTTATTTATTTTTAATTTATATACTCTTGAAACATGTTGCTACAGAGTTCGCTTAACGGTTGTTTTTATCACCTAAAACTAATCGATTTACATAGATATGGAATTATATATAATATATATATACAGATTAGATGAAAAGTTTCTGCGCTCTAATTAAAAAACAAAAATGATTTTGGCGCGAAATATATTTTTTTTGTCATTGTTAAACAACTTTGTGAGCAGGTCATTGTCTTGATGAAAAAAGATTTTTTGTGCTGCATACCGGGTCGTTTCTCACGAATTTTTTCATCCAGAGTTGATCTTTCTTTCTTCAGATAATCAATCAACAAAATTCCTTTTGTATCCAAAAAAACGGATGCCATAACCTTCTTTGCTGATCGTTGTGACCACACCTGCTTTGGAGCTGAACAACCAGCATCAGTCCACAGTAAACGTTCTTGTTTCAATTTAAGATCATGGTGGTAGATCGATGTGCGGCTTTCCAAACAGCTTTTTCATATGTAATTCTCCATGTAAGATATGAAATACTCGTTCGTCTGAGATATTCACTTGGATCTTCACTACCAATATTATGAACTTGCTCAATGATTTCAGTGTGTTTGCGGCTTTTGGTTGTCCTTCGCGTGAATCGTCTTCAAGCCTAGTACGACCTCATTTAAATTAACCAGCTCAATTCAACGGTACGTATTGAAAGTGAGGATTCCTTATACACTTCTAACAATTGTTCATGAATTTTTTTTGCTTTTAAACCTTTCCAAACAAAGAATCTAATCACTGCGCGATATTCAATTTTTCCGTATTAAAAAAATACTCTCACACGTCAACTTCAAATGGCTTATAAACAAAGAATTAATTGACAGAATGACATGTAACTTTGCATGTGTGCTCACGACCGATGTACCAACTTGACAAAAAAAAATTGGAGCCAGTAGTGCTATTTCTTGGTGAGACCAACCAACTTTTCAACCAAGCTGTATTCATAAATGATCAGGATGACGAGACGAGTTGAAATCCGGGTGACTGTCTGTCCATCTGTGCGGGCAAGCCATAACTTGACACTTAAGACACCTACTTATGTTATACTGCCACGCCCACAAAACGCTATTAATCGCTATAATTAAACACTATATTAAAAAACAAAATTGTAACTTGGCGCAGTGGATCGAAGTAGGGAGTGACTTTAGTGGGCTAAAAATTTTTTTAAAGTGAGCATGATCCCACCCTCTAAATAGTTAAATGCACATATCTTCCAAGCCGGTAATAAAAGTATGACTTTCACTTTACAGTATACAAACCAAAAACATCAAGGAAGTTAACAGAACAAAACTTTGCACAAATAGAGTCCTCAAGCTATTTCATCTTACGCCCGCAATTGTTGAAATCGTACTATAACTTTTCAAGGAACCAGCCAAGAAATATGTGGATCCTAGTGCATATGGCTAATTTTTTGCGAACATATCGGCCCAACTGTAAGGTCTTGTATTGAAATTCGTGGAGCATATTTTTGTGATAACAGCATGCCCTTGTGCCAAAAATGGGTAAAGTCGGGTCCGTACATCCTTTAGCCTCCATATATATAATATAAATATTTTCGAACTTCCGTTTGACTTTATACCGCATATATCTGCCAATATCTAAGGGATTAATAAAGTAATCAGAAATATACTCTTTCTAATAACAGTTTATCCTCTTGCCGAAAATGGATGAAATCTGCGCAATACTTCTTTGTTTAATATAAACTTTTCCAACACCTATACGCCGCCTTTGATGTCCCCGCCTTTGATGTTTTCAAATAGCGAAAGTTTAAAATGTTCGTTTAACCCGACTTCCTTGATAACTTGATAAAAATAGATTTCTACAGTTTCATCAAAAAAATTTAAAAAATAGACATTGTTGTTGTGCATATGGGTTTCGCGGCTCCACCAAAACAAAACAAATTGGTATTGTCTTATTTAATTTTTCTCGAAACGCTGTTTTCAGAGTCGATGTGAAAAATTTCACTCGACCTTCTTAGTTATACAGATGAGGTACAAAGTAAGCAAGTACGAAAATTGCAATCGCAGACAGAAATAGTAATAGTGTATATGTATAAGTATGCATCATTAAATAGTTCATTTGTTCTCCGTCGATTTATTTTAAAACGATTTGAACAACTGAAATTTGATGCTTCCTTCATCAAATGCAACCTGAATCGTTTAAGTGGAGTAGTAAATAACACTGGGAAACAGTAGTTTTGATTTATGAAGTTTTTCTCTAGCAGCTCTAGTTTTCGAAATATGAACATACTACATTTTAAGCAAAAAATACTACCATTTTAGAATTTAAAAAATATTGCTCATACTTCACCTGAAAAACAAAATTTTTTTTATGCGCTTTTCTTGCAAAAGTAGAAACATCAGTATTGTTTTGAATGCCTCTGGTATCTCTCTTCCATAGTGCGAATATCCTGTTGAAACTGTTCTTTTTGTTCTTCGCTTAAGTCGGCCACATTTTCGGGGAGCATCTTGATGCTCATGGTGCAAGATGAGGTGCTCTATGTGTTGATAGTAGTCTGGAGACTTATTATTTCTTAAGAAATTTTGCACTACCCAAATAAATACAATCCAAGATACAAGATTTCTCCTTATCTGTCATACAATCAGTAAAATGTTGGTCCTTTATTAGTTCCCTAAGCTTTAATTTTTTCTGTGCTCAATTTCGGAAACAGTTTAGAGATATATTTAAAACATTCCTCATCCGGTACTAAATTCACTCTCAAAGGCCAAACTTTTTTAGTCCAGTGTTCGATCTTGGCTCGACTATCCCAAAACCACATGCAACAGGGGTATTTGGTATATCCTCCTTGTTGACCCAAAGGAAAATTTTCATTTTAAGATCGACGCATATCAGCCAATTATGTTATACTTATGTAATACTTATGCAAATATAACAAATAGACCTTTTTATAGATTCAGACGCATTCTCAAAACATATAGTCACCACAAACAGCACAAAAACTTTTCGGATAGTTTAAACAAGTTCTTATTAATGTAGCCATAGCTGTTTATTTATGAAATTTTGTAATTGTTTGCCCTAAAAATTAATTCAAGTAAGCCGAGTCACGATATTTCATGAAGTACCTGTAACACTAAAACTAAAGCTGCTAGAAAGAAAGAGGTAGATTTAAAATCAGCGACGTCAAATTAGTGTGAAACCGTTTTGAAACTTCATTAAACAAAGTTTAGATATGTTTACCAGTGTAATTGCAATTGAAGATGCTACGTAAGTTTTTATTTTTGTTGTACCAATTACATTATCTACGATTACTATCTTTTTGCTGGCACATTTCAATTGTTTAATACCCCGAGGTCGTTCGGACGGCAACTTCAAAGTATCAAGCAAAAATTCTGCGGTTTACCTATATGCAACTGCGTTGGTAATGATGTTTATGTATTTAAATCTTTTTAAAACGCACATTAAATAAAATAATTAAATAAAAATTAATCGGATATAGAATTTACTGTCAGGATATGAATTAGTATGGTAAAGACTGG